GCCTGGCTGCGCCGGCTGCAGGTGCCCAAGAGGTGAGGGGGGCTGGGGGCGAGGCCGGGCCCTGCCGCCGTGCCAGTCCCTGGGGCGCGGCGGGCCCTGCGCCACGGCGGCACAGCAGGAACTGTAGGCGCATTTCGGTTAACTCAGCTGAAGATGTAGAAAATATGCAAACAGCATTGCGTATTTTTATTTGAGCTCGGTTTGGTTGTTGTTTGGTTTTTTGTTTTTGTTTTTTCCCAGAAGTGTTATTTTGGTTTTATGGATGGGGAACTGAGGAGCACAGAGACGAAGATCATACAGAGCCCATATATGCCAAATTGGAACAGAAGCCTAATCCCCCGAACCCCAGTCCCATGCAGTATCTGTAAAACAAACCTGGCAAAACTCGGGTGAGGGAGCTGGGAATATGGATTCCTGAGTGTAACTGTGACTGTGCAAATATACTGCAGCTTTACTGTCTTAAACCGATTCTCAGTTGTTATCTCCTTTCTTCAAGGTTTCTTTTTAAAATGGGATTTAGCAACATGTTAACACAACGATCTGGACCCAGCATAAACAGTCTCTAATAAGGCAAAAGAACGTTGCATTATCCAAACACATCTCTTAATAGATGTTTAATAGGATGAAAGGGGTGGGGGGGAAAACCGTTTACAGCTTTATGTATGTTACTGGTATTTCATCGGTTTTGATCAGCCAAGGTTCATGACTATAACTAGCCTTTGACTTGAACATAGGCATGACAGGATCTTGCAAGGCCAGCAGGGCAAGACCAGGAGGCTACTTAACCCAAAGATCAGATCACCTCTGTTGTATTGATCTTGCTGTCACCGTCACATTTTATACACGTAACTTTCAAACCAAATGTTTAAAAAGAGTTTTATGACACAGCATGTTATTAATGGAAAGTTTGTAATGTAGTATCTTGGCTATCAGGCTTCTGGTTACAGAAAATACCCAGGGATGTATTTAAGCTATGTGGTACCCTTGGTGAAAATAAGGCTCATAAAGGCTTTGTCTTAATTTCAGTGTGCTGCAAAATTCTTAAGGTATTATGGTAGGCTCTTGTTTGAGTTGAGCTTTCTCCAACAGAAGTTTCCCACCACCCCTTAGGAAAGATGGTGTCTGAAGAATGTGGCTTTTTCGGGGAATTGGTCTCGAGCTCTCAACATTTAGAAAGTGTTTCTGTTATTTGAGTAGTTAGTGAACCCAAAACCGTGGTAGCTGAAGGAAGAGAGAAGATCCTGAAGGTAACTGTAGAGCATTTTCTGTTTCTATTCATCTGCATCTTCTTTCCAAACAAGCACTGTATTTTCACTAGCCTGGGCTTGTTTTTAACTGTGCCATTCCATCTTGTCAAATGTTATGATTAATTTTGGGCTTGTTTGGCAAATGGTGAACATTCCTCTCCTTGAGGGATGACGCATGTACTTACTGCAGTGCTTGATCACTCTGTAGGTCAGATACATCCTCAGCATAATCAGGATTGCTGAAAGTTCTTGGGACATAGCTCTACTAAGTTGTCAGGGCTTGTTTGTGCTGGTAGCAAAAAGCAACACGTGTGAAGGAAGTTCTCTGGTTAGTGATGAGACAGTATTCTACTGAGTAACAGGACAGCAGGGAAGGCTTGAAACTTGGAGATGGCAATGAGTTTTTATCAATATACAAGTTCTATTTGGTCTCTAAGCAGAAGATGAGGGAAAGGGGCTAAATTTTACTTCTGTTGCAAATCAGCAGAGCGAGTGTTGCTGTCTCTGCTTCGTAGAAGAAACCGAGGAAGGAGAAGTGATCATCTGAAGGGACTACCGACTGCTAATGGGCAAGGTGCTCTGGAGCATGGCAGGGATGCTTGCTATCTCTGTGGTTCTGACCTGGCCTTTGTATTGCTGTTGAACCCGAGCTGCTCTGGGAGGGGGTCACTTTACCTGGTTTCACTAAGTAAGGGTGTTGTACCCCTGCACTCCCCCAGAAGAAAAGTTTGCATGTTCCAGGGAAATATGGTCTTCTCTGACTATACAGTTACATCCTGGTTTTGTACCAATAGTTACATTGTCAAGACAAAGCCATCAGCACCTTCCCATGGTACCTATTTAATCTCTTTGCAGGTGTTTCCGGAGGTCCTGTTTTTTATTCATAGCCAGAAGGACTTGCAGTTTTAAAAGCAAAATGAAGTACTGGATCACCTAGTTTGAGCTGGATATTGTAGACTGTTTTACTCATCGGGTTACCCGTCCTGACTGTAATGTCTTGCATTTCAGTAATGCATAATGTGCTTTTATAAGTGCATTATGGGTCGGGGAATTCTTTGTTTTCTTCAAAAAAACATGCGATCTTGCCTTTTAATTACCCAGTGGTATTGGTGGTCTCTCCTTTTTTTCTGTATGACTGTTGCAGACCTGGAATTTGCAGAGGGATGAGATATTTTAGTGTACAGTGAGTAATTACTTCTGGGTGCCTTTTACTGTCTGCATTTGTCACTTGTGAACTTTCACATGTCATGTAACGCATGCACTAGAACTGAGTAAAGTGGGAGTGCTGCTAGGTGCAACAGCCTGGAAATGCCCAGAAAATTAATTTGGATGTGCTTTCAGTGGTGTAAACTGCAAAGAAAAAGTTGTGCACATGATTAATTGTAAGCATTGAGGAATACCTTTGCAATGTGTAGTTTGCGCTTTCTTCTCTTCAGTGCAGCTATGGTTAGTAAAGTAAGCTAAATTAGAGGTTATTCCAGGCAGCATTTTGCTGGAGGAAGAAGGCATTATAGTTATTCCTGCTTGGTACCACTGGAGTCCCAAGTCCTCTACTTACTGGTGTGGGGACCACAAGGGAATGTACTCGCCACCAGGCAAGCATGGCCTGCAGCTACATTTCCAACTAAGGAACAATGACAAACACTAATGAAGACCCCTTTTGTTCCCACAGGTGGTTTACTCACTTTTATGTGGTTTCTGTGCTCTGGAATGGCTTTCTGCTGATCTGGCTTTTTCGAGCCGAGTTCCTCGGAGGGTCACTCCCATCATGGATTCAGCACATGCACCATGCTCCTGGCAGAGATTCTCAGAGTGAAGACACCGGCAAGTATTCCAGCTATTATGATGCAGCCATATAAATGTTAGAAAGGTGCACTGCCATCCTGTGCTGAATTTGTATTCTTCAAGTGCTACTTGATCAGCTGCTTTTAAACGAGGCTTCAAGTGACTTTCCTGGAATACCAAGTCCCTTTATCATTATTCGAGGTAGAAACTATTCTAATTTATGGATATGATGGCTTTCATCAGGCCTTTTAGCAGAAAGGGCCATTAGCACCTTCTAGAAGTAATCTTACTGTGGTCAGCAGTGCCTCACTGTACCAATATTTTCCCCAGTGCTCAGTTAATTTAAAATGATGGTAAAATTTTGCTGTGGGGAGGGGAAGAAATAACCTTTTTGAAGCACTGTCAGGATTAAATTGTTTCTATCTGTTTCAAAGTTGCTGGTTTTTATCTGCAAGCAGATAGTGAGCACTTCTCTGCGCTCCTGGTTCTCCTGCTGCTTTGGCTGCATAGCTGTCGAAGACTTGCAGAATGCCTCTGGACCAGTGTGTTTTCCAATGGCGTCATTCATATTGTGCAGTATTGCTTTGGACTTGGTTACTATATTGCGGTTGGCTCAACTGTGCTATGTCAAGTGCCTACTGATGTCAGGAATGGTAAATACCTGCTTAGTTATTACCAAAGATGCAGTTTTTCTCCTATTTGTTTCCATCATGGAAAATGGTTTTATAGAGGGCTGCTTGTGTGATAACTGATGAGACATAAAAATACTTACTGTCATAGTTGAAAGTAACTACAGTTCAGTATATCACATAATCAACCAGCATTATACAGAAACACAGACACACTTTCATGTTAACAATCCCTGTAATTTCCTTAAAGACATCTCCTGTAGATACTTTCATGATTGTTTCCGATCGTTTTTGCATTAAGATACATATGCTTTATGAAGGACAGTAACAGTTACCAGTTCTCAAATGCCACTACACAACTTCAGTTCTCAAACTGGAGTTTGGTTTTTTGTTGTAAGATTTCTTGTAAGGTCAGTCTGCAAGGCTGCCCTGGCCACCTCATTTGTTTTCCATTTAGAACTTGCCAGTGCTCTGCTTTGCATCAGTCAGTCTCTTCTTTTCCTCAGTACTGTAATGTCTCCATTACTACAGCAGAAATTTAAAATACATGACTTGTTTCTGCCAACACATTCCACTGAGTCTCACAACTGAGCTGTTATTCCCTTGCACAGATGAACCATGAGCCGGTTGTAGCACTTCTCCCATAACTAATTTTTGTAGGGTGGTCATTACCAAGTTATGTAACTTCAGTGAAGTTTTTAACCACTTCCAACCACATCAGCTCTAGTTTAGTCCAGTGATTTTTTTTAAAAAGAACCTTCAGATCTCCTATGTGTAGATAAAGCCTTTTTCTTCCTTTCTGGATCTGTCTTCTACCTTTCACATCTTGTAGGTTCTTGGAGATGGTGTATTGGTTCATACATTGGAAATCATCCTTAATACAATTAACTCCTTTCTAAGGCTTAAATGGTTCACAGTGTGCCTCTGTGTGTGTAGGTGTATATATGTATCTCACTCACTGTGAACGCAACAAACAACTCTGTACCTTTATGTTGACCTGAGCTATGACAACATCTTTGATTTGGATGATAAGAATTACAAACACCGTTGAATATTGAGGTCTTAGACTATCAATTATGTATCGGTCATACATCATGCTGAACCTCAAGCTACTGAATTAAAAACTAGGTATTTTTAGTATAGAGCGGTTAAGGGAAACAAACTACCAGCTGAGCATTTAAGTGATGCAGGATTTAAAAGCATATTTAAAGGTGTTAGAGGCTCACTACTAGAATTTTGTAAGACAGTAACATTTTAAAAATGCATTCGATTTTTGGGATGATGCTTAGGAAGGTGTTTCCCAGCCATATATTAATGAAACATTTTCATTCAGGAAAAGAGCTTTCTGTGCAGATCTGCTGGTATCACATTGTAGGAGTTACAATGTACATTTGGGCCTCTCTTCACCAACACAGATGTCTTGTGATTCTAGCTAACCTTAGAAAAAGTAAATCAGGTAAGATGTTTAATTTCTGCTAACCATTTCCTTAAATAATTTTTTCCTTTCATTAGGCTTCTGTAGCTTAACCTTAAAACACGAGTATTTTTCAGTTCCTGTAATGTGGTACTCTCTCTAAGACTTTCAGTAGATTAAATGAGGCTGTTTGGAAAAGAGATTGGATGGCTGAATAGGGGGAATGTGTATCTGTATGTATAGTTTTATAGAATTAAAATGAAGGTCTGTCTTCTAGTATCCTAAGAACAGACATGTGCTAATGCTTAGAACTTGTGCCATTCCTCAGGGACCTCACTTCTGTCTCCATGTGGGTTAAAAATAGGTTTCCTTACTCTGTATGTGCACAAACAACCAGAGCTGACATCTTATTTCATTAAGAAGTGCAAAGCTGCCAGATCAGATGGAGGTGGATGATGATAACTTCAATAAGCATGTTGTTCTGTAATTGTGACTAGAAAAGTTTATTTAATGAATATTGTTCTGAACTAATTTCTTTCTGTTTGCTTGCAGGAAAGGTCGTAAGTCTGAGCCACAGTATACCTTTCGGAGACTGGTTTGAAACAGTTTCTTGCCCTCATTATTTTGCAGAGCTCCTCATATATGTGTCTATGGCCGTCACACTTGGATTTCACAATGTGATATGGTGGTGTGTAGTGATGTGTGTTCTTTTTAACCAGGCACTGGCTGCTGTTTTGAGTCATGAGTTCTATCAGAAAAACTTCAGCTCCTACCCAAAGCATCGAAAAGCATTTATACCATTTGTTTTTTAAACTCTTTCTTTTAAAGCATCTTTAGTATACACTGGGAAATATTTTCTAGAAGGGAATTAGAGATATACAGTTTATTAAAGCTGAGGTAAAATCACACATTTTATCTAATTCTAGCTTAAAAGCTCTTAACTTTAATGATAATCTCATCCACATTACCAGTTCATGTGGGGCAGTGCATGGTCTCTGCATATCGTATAAGCTAAAAAAAGATTTACTGAAGACCTTAATTCAAACTGAAGAGATGCTAATTGGCTCTTTTCTGGTTTATAAGTATATCTTAAGCGTAAAACGTTTGCTGTTGTGCAGCAAGCCCAAATAGAAATTTGTGAAAACTGTAGTGAAATGAGGGTGCAGGGAATCATTTGAACTACTGTACTTCATGCCTTGTCTAATATTTAAGCATATTTTTTCCTAGTCTCTTTTCTTTGAATCACTTCATAGGGAGGCAAACCTGTATTGTCTTTCTGTGCTTCCCTGTTGGTAATTAAAACCAGCCACTGCTTTATAACTGCAAGCACAAAAACCGGTGGAGAAAGCTGCAGTGGAGGAATGACTCATGCTCAGCAGTGGAGATAAACAGACCCATTCTCTGCATTATCTCTGCTGCACCAAACTGTTTTCATTCATTGATGAAAACTCCTTGTTTATCCCTGAACTGGGGAAATCGTGGAAGGTTCTCTGTCTAGAGAGACAGTAGAAGAGAATTTGCAGAAAATCAATGGTTTTGGTTATGGTTCAGTCACCCTTGCAGCGCCTTATTGGAATCCCATGTGGGTTAGAGAGGGCAGTTATAGAGGATGACTGTAACCACAACTACACTTTTTTTAAACCCTGTGAGAGCAGATGTAATGAACTGCCAAGGCAGAGAACAGACAGCAACCAGTACCTGACAAGCATTGCAAAGAAATTCTTTACTGGGGCAATGATGTCACTCAGCACAGGGATTTTTTGCACTTAACCATTGAGTATTTTGATCCTTTTCATGATTGTGGAGTGAATGATCAGTTTGTGTGACGTAGCGTACGGATGCCGGTGTTCCGGTGTGTTTTCTTACATGTGTATATGAGAATATTATTTTTATATACTGAAGTAGATCTTATGAATGATCTAATTAAAAGAGTTTATTACACCTTCTGTCTCTATATAATTTTTCAAAATTGAGTTCTGTGTTTGCAAAACACGAGCAATTACTTTGCACAGAAACTTGTGCCTCTTCTGCCTCTCAAAACCGTCTTTCCACTGACGCTTCCATAGCCTCGGTTCACCACAGCATTCAGAAACAACCCTGTCTCCGGACCGCATCTTACAATTTATTTTTTTTTAAAGTGATTCTCGGGAGGCTCCTTGAGCCTGCCTCTAGGCGTCCCCCTGTTTTACTAGCGTTGCGTTCTTGGTCCCGTTTACTAGACTCTGAATTGCTTCTCGGAGAGCGCGTTCCTATCCTCGCCCCGGGGAGAGCAGGGGGATGCACGGCCCTCCTCGGGTCACGCGTGCCCAAAGCGCTGCTTCGTACCTGGGTTAGAGGCCTGGCTGTGCCCAGTCCCTTCCTGCACAATTTTTTTGCTTTCTTACGCAGCCGCTCCCGTCCCTCGGCGCCCTTTCCCTGCCCGCAGGGAACTCCGAGCGGAGGCGGGACGCGCTTCGCC